ATATAGGAAGTGGTTAGACATTTAAAATTTGAAGGCTATTAGAATTTACTAAAAATGCCTCTCCCATGCTTTAGTGTTTATAGATTTAAAAGAAATTTTTTACAGGTTCAGTTCGCAACAATTTCATATTAAAATGCAAGTGTCACTTGAGATTACAAGCCTGATGCCAACCAATATAATATTAGGTGACAAGGAGCCAATGGCAAGAACTTGTGCTAACAGGGTTAAAGAAATTGTTGGAGGGTATGTAGATGGTTGAGCTATAACCAAGGGAGGAAGAGAGTGGCTAAGGAGAAAATAGGAACACCAAAAAATGGGAACATCTATTTTCGAATTCCTTAGGGAACTCATATTGTCATATGACCCTAATATTTTTTAGTTTGCATTTAATGTATCAGCTGTTAAATGTACCCAAAGAGAAAAGAACGGTTTGCAAAATGTAGAGCTTGTGCAATTTTTATCTTGTGTATCAGACCAGAAAACATTCTGAAGGGCACCCCTTCTCGCAGTGTAATTGTTTTTCATCTGACAAAAATCATTTAATTTGGAGAGTGAGGCTGGATGGGAACGGGCTTGGTGCAGCCTCATCCTGTAATCAGCAAGAAGACCAACACAGCTGCGGGGACATTCTCAGCCTGGAAGGGGTGAGGGAGAGGGCGCGGAAGAAGTTCTCTCCGGCGGTGGATCACGGCTGTCGCAGGCAGAACCCGCAAAGACTCCATTCACTCCTCCAAGTGGCATTCAGAATCACTGCCAGGCTCTCAACGGTTGGAAAAGTTGTTTAATATTAGTAGGAATAGGATTTTGACCTTTCTTCAATTTCTTCATTCAGAAGCAACTAACATACATCGAAATTTGTATTTAAATTGGGCATATCAGACGTACTCTTATATTCTAAGGAGTCCTGGTGTTGCCATGGTTAAACAGTCAATTGTTAACCAAAAGGTCATTTGTTGAAGCCCACTGGCTCCTCCCATGGAGAAAGATGTGTTGTCTGTTCTTACAAAAACAGTAGCCTTGGAAACCGTGGGTCAGTTCAACCAATCAATTTCTAAGAGGGTACACTGACGTCACTAATGGATTGAGTCTTGTTAACTCTGAAGCAGCAAACACCATATGACGTACCAAGATTTTGTGTATAATATATTTATTTGCATACAGAAATATGTATTTCTATTGTACATTGGAATACTTTATTTATAGAATATGTATATTAAGCATACGGCATATTCCAGGAAGATACATTAAATATGCACACAGGGCATGCTGCAGCGTGCACCCTTTCAGAGAAGCTTATTGACGACGTGTGGCATGGTATGTACATGCTGAAGAGACACTTTGCACAAAGCCATTCAGCTCTGGGTGCTTTGCTAGTCTATTTGCAATATCAGTGCTATGCTCGCTGAAAGGAATATTATTAAACTGGAGCAGGAAGAGGCAACTAGCGATGAACTGAGTGGGAGAAAACAAAAATAGAAGTGTCCTAAGTACAGGTTGCCAGCATGTTGAACTCCTATCTCTCTCAGTGTCATCTCTTCATGACCATTGGAACATTGGAACAGCAATGGACAGACAAATAGTCGGGAAGTGCGGGACCCCTGGCTTCCACGTTCCAAATGGGAACGCTTAGCCCGTGTGACTTATGGTGGTGACTTTGTCCTGGCATGCAGAAATTGGCATGTGCTTCATGAGAAACCGGGGAGGGGCCACCCCGTCTTGTTTCACAATCTCCTCTTCTTGTGAGACCACTCTGGAGTATTTATTTACATTATTGCTATGAGGAGAGAAGAAATAAAGACTTGAAAGAAAGTCACCTTTCCAGTGGACACACAGGAAACAAAGCAAACATTTATATTTGAAAGAGACTCATAACATTGTTAAAGTAAAAATGGCAGCTCCTCTAGAAATGGGTCCTATCAACAGTAACCATTTTAATGGCCACGTCCTATCAACAGTAACCATTTTAATGGCCACCTGCTGCAACTGGAATTGCCTGGTTTCATGGCTCTCATAAGAGGCCAGTAAGAGGTTCGAAATAACATGCTAGTATGTGGTCTGTATTCTTAGTCTCTGAACTACAAATGCACTAGTCTTCATGGATGGTAGTGCTTTCAATACACAATCAGTTTTTGCAAACAATTGAGCCATTTGAATTGATAATCTGATAGTGAAGAAGGATTATTCTTTCACTTATGGGAGGCAAGCTCTAGGAAACCACTGAAATGGACCAAGATTTCAGAACCTCAGTACTACTGGCAATTTGAGCTCAGGACTGTTGGCTGTGGGGCTGTGCCAAGCACCGTAGGCTATTAAACTACGTCCTTAGCCTCTAACCAATAAGTGGCCACCTCCTGACTCCTACTACCCAGTTACAAAACCCAGAAAGTCTCTACACATCGCTCAATGTCCCCATGCCATGAGGAACAATGTTGTCCCTGGGTCAGCGGCACTGAGACAGCAGTGGCTGCGCTTTCCAATCACCTGCCATTTTCAATGTCCTTTCCTTCTTCTGTCTACAGTCAGCAGCTCCTATAACGTGCCTGACTACTTTCATTTCCTTTCTTTAATATGTGATGATTGTTTTTGCTGGTGGTGTCTGTGGTGGAGATTAATAACAGAAGAAAGAACAGGAAGGGTTCAGTGACAATTGCAAGTCAGAGGCAGCTTAACCTGTAATCGAGTTGGGTTGTTGGAATAAATACAAGAATGTTCCAAATCCTGACTCCCAAAGAAAGATTCATTCCAACTGAAATATCATCGGTATCATTCTAGTACAACAAATTACACAGTGAAATATCAAGTTACTCAACTTTTTTGTTTACAGAAACCAAACAAACCAGCAATTTTCCTTACACTCAATTGATCAGTTGACTTATAAAACCAAAATAAAAATGAATGTCTCTTTAGAATGTAAAACAATGTACGTGGAAATAATTTTAGCACAAAGCATTTTCTAGGAATCACTTCTCTTAGGAGTTGCCGGGAAATGGTTGAAGTTATTTAATTAAGCTATTTTTATAGAGTGAATTGAGTACAAAAATGGTTGGCAATTTGCTTCTTACTCTTTCTTTTTCCCTTGCTTGGTTTCTGAGATTTTAAAAAACTTATTTGTTGTGATGTCATCAATGAAGTAAGTGATAAAAAAGAATTCTACCATGTGCTAATGCCTAATGTTCACCAATTCATCATGTGACTCACATCAATATTACTGGAAAATATATCATAAATCTAATGTGCAAAAATATGTGATTTAAAAGGACCTTTATAAATTCAATTTTAATTGATTGGGTTATATTTAGAAAAATCTAGTTGGAAGACTATAGCTAATATAATAAGAAATTTTTTAAAAAGCTGAGTTAATGTGAACCAACATAATCTTATACTTATGTGCATCACCATTCAAAAATCTCTACATGGATAATATTCTATAGAAAGCCACCATTTGGATAATAGTTTCTAGAATATCTTTTATGCTCTAGATTGTAAGAAATGACACAGGTACAGCCATCTGCTTTCTTCTGTTTGAGTCTATCAAACTTATGTGGCTTCAGTTTAGATATCCACTATATTTCTATAACTATTAATAGGAGAATTTTGAGGCTAAGTAATCTTAAAGAAAATTGACAATTTGAGGAATACAGAACATGTGGGTTCAGTAACTGTTTTAAAATTAGTCTTGTTTTCCGCCTCCATTGAGTTAGAGAATGGTGCTAGATCATCTCATTTGACTCTATATCACATCCTTTTACGAGACATTGAAGAGATGGTCTTATGCTCTTGAAATTGACCCGGAAGTCATTGGTACCATGTAGACTTGGTAATGCTGTTTGACATTCAAAATGAATTAAGCCATGTCTTCTTCCTGCTACCAAAGGCCAAGAGTTCATGTTTTCACAAGTTCACATTTCAGGTAGGGCCAAGAAGTTTCAGGCCTGAAACAGGATTCCCTTCTGACCTTCTATTTCCTTCCCTCAAAATATATCAGACCTTCTTGGACTCTCTCCAACTAGATGAACTATTGTTTAATATGATGAAACCTCATTTTTATAAATGGCTTTGGTTTCTGAAGCATATTTATGTTTTAGGTGAACCATGTTGTTAAAATAAAAGGCTAGAATAGGAGAAAACCAAATTGGTGAAAATGTTTCACATACAGGATCAGAACTAAAGTAAATCCTTATAGGATTTTGCACCCCAAGGAATGCAAAAGGTACAGTGGCAGGAGAGAAGTGCTATATTCAAGGCTGGATTCAGCTAAGGCCATGTAGGTCTCTTCCAGACATGATGTAGAACAAGAACGGATAATAATTGATACTATAATAAGGGGGAAATGATGTGACCCAGTATTTGTTCATTTCCTTTTGATGATGAGGGAAAAAAAGGATTTCAAAAAGAGATTTATTACTTTGTAATCCTCCAGATAAGACCACAGAAGACTAATGGAGACATAGCATTGCAGAGGCCACGTGTGTTGACCTTGTCAATTTCTCTTCTTCATCTCCCCATTGTATGGCAGCTGTCTTTGGATGATTTAAGTTTCCGTGATAGCTGGTCATTGTGGCATTTTATCCTCACGTAGACTCATGGAAGAAAATGAAATGAAAAAAGAAAGAAAGCAGATTCTTCCTCTCCGTAGAGACTGATGACATTGCAGACTCAGAAGCCCTTCTTCAAGAATATGAGGAAGCGTAGGTCTTGCCTTAAATCTACAACTGCAATGTGTCACTTTCCTTCTTCCATTGCCCCGAAAATGACAAGGTTCATAAGGTCAGCATTTCTCCAAGTAGAACCCAGGCAAGACCAGATGTCCCTGGTGGGCTCCTTGATTGCACATTCCATCATAATAGTATAAAGTGCAAGGGCAGAGATTTTAAAACCGGGAGCTGTTATGTCCTTTTTTTTTTTTTTTGGTGTCTGTGGTTGTTTTTTTTTTGTTTGGTGGTTTGTGTGGTATGTCTTTTTTTTTTTTTTTGGCTTGGGTTTGTTTCTTTTTCCTTCATCAGCTCCCCTTGGCCACCTCCCTTCTTTTCAAATACGGTTTATCTGGTGGCACCTATGTTCTTATAATGACACATGAGCAGGTGTTTGAAGGTCTTCTTGAAGGTAGCGTTACAGAGCGCATAGCAGGCAGGGTTGATAGTACTGTTGATGTAACAGAGCCAGTAGCCTATTGTCCACACTGTGTTGGGGATGCAGGGGGCGCAGAAGGTGTTGATGAGCACCATGACGTTGTACGGGGCCCAGGTGATGATGAACGCCAACAGAATGGCCAAGATTGTCCTGGTCACTTTCTTCTCGCGGGAAGGAGGCGGCTTCTTCTTGACAGGCTGCTTGGTCATCTTCACAATCTTGCGGGCTACAGTGTTCTGCTTTTCTTCTCCAGTCTGCCCTGTCGAAATGGCTAGATCCGCGGTGGCATTCGCTGGGGTACATGAATCCCCTTTTTGGGTCTTGCTGCCAATCTTGGCGCATGCTTGCTTAGAGTTCTCATCTTTGGAAGGGCCCAGGGATGTGGAGATGGTGTTTTCATCTTGGGTGATTTCATCATCTCGCATGTTCGAGGCCACAGCACTGACCGAGGTGGAGTCATTGGAGCTCTCCTTTTCCTCGCCCTGGACACAGTTTTCAGTGACTGTGTCCCGTGGGGCCTTGCCATTCTGAATCTTGTTGTGTTCCAGGCCATTGTCACCACTGGCCATGTTGTTGTTGTTTGGCTTGACTATCCTCCCTTGCACCAGACTTGGAGAAACTGGTTCCTGGTTGGTGACAGGCTCCTTCTTGTCTTTCTTGATCCTGCTTTTGCTGGCTCGGGAGATGTGCCAGTACAGCACGGACATGATGATCACTGGCAGATAGAAGGCTGCAATGGCCGTACCAAAGGTGACGGCGGCATTGGAAAAAAACTGGATGTAGCACTCGCCATCCTCCACAGTCCTCACCCCTACGATGAACTGCCAGAAGAGAATGGCTGGAGCCCAGAGTATGAAAGAGAGGACCCAGGCGGCAGCGATCATCATCCCTGCCATTTTCGTGGTCCGCTTGACGGGGTAGGTCAGGGGCTTGGTGACACAGAAGTATCTGTCAAAGCTGATGATGAGTAGATTCATAACAGAGGCATTGCTGACCACATAGTCCAGGGCGAGCCAGAGGTCACACACCACCGGCCCCAAAGGCCAGTAGCCAATCACAGTGTAAAGGGTATACAGGTTCATGGAGAAAACACCTATGATAAGGTCAGCACAGGCCAGGCTGAACAGGAAGTAATTGTTGACAGTCTGGAGGTGGCGGTTGACTTTAATGGAGACCATGACCAGAATGTTCCCAATGATGGTCACCAAGCTGAGGGACCCAGCCACAAGGACAATAAAGATCACTTCAAAGGTCTTGTAAGGGCTGGTCAGAGCCAGGCCATTGCTAGAAGAGTTTGTTGAATTATTCATTTTCGTCTTCTGGGGTCAGCAGCTAAGTAGCCAAATAAACATTTAAACCTGGAGGAAAGAAAAGAAAATTAACAAATGTAGTATACCCATTGGTATAAAATACAACAAATTTCTTCCTTGTAAAGCATGTTTTTTTGCCCCAAATCTCTCCCTTTCCAGGTTTGCTGTCCCGGTGTGTACCATTCCTCATTCCACAGGCAAACTAAGACTTTAAATGGATAATCCAAAAGGTTTTTTAAGACTGGCAATACACTTGAATCTGACAACATCTTGAATATATTCATATCAAGATGCGATCATACCGAACATTTCACTCTCTCTTCAATCTCCCCTCTCCTCTCTCCCTTCTTCTATCTTGGAGCCTTGACGATGCAGGGCTAAGCCCTACAGTTGTATGTGAAAGGTTGTAGGTTCATATCTACCCTATGGCCTTATGGGGAAAAGATCCGCAGATTAGTTCCGGTAAAGATGACAACCTAGGAAAGTCCACAGAGCATCTCTACTGCGTCTTACCGGGTCTCTAGGAGTTTGAACAGGCTCAAAAGTGCCCAAAACTAGCTATTATTAATCTATTTATTGACCTAACTAAATAAAAAAAACACGTAAAACTTCTCGAATCTTCTAGGCATGTCTGTAAAGGACATGAAGATTAAACCAATGTCAGGACCCAATAACAGGAGAAGGCGTAAAGCTTAGAATATTGATTGCTTGATTTTTACGGTCGACAGCACATTTCAACTTCATCATTTTGTCTTTTTCCTATTAATGCTGTTAATAAGAAAGGTAATATGAAAGTAGTAGTTGACTATGGTCCTCTAACCTTTTTACATTTGTCAATGTCCCACAGTTTGCATTACAAATACTCCCTATTCTTCAAGAGGGAAAAAAAACCCCAAAACCGAAAACCCCAAACTGACTGACTTCCGCTGAGTGGATTTTGCTTCATAGCAATCCCTCATCTGATTTCCAAAGCTGTAAATCTTTATACGGGAGTCTGATGGCCTAGGGGCAAGGTGGTGTACTGCCAACCCACAGGTGCACTGTTCAAATCCACCAGGTGCACCTTGGGAGGAAGATGGGCAATCTCCTGTGTCATTTATTGCCTCTGCAAATCTGCCAGAGCGTCAGCTCTGAGGTGGTCCTAACTCCATCGTACACAACAGCTCTCCATGGGAGGGAACGGCCTCCTCTTTCCCCATAACAAGCAGTCGGTAGATGTGAATCACCAACCTTTCAGCTAGCAGCCACCATGCCGTGTTTGTATTGCAATGAATGTTTAACTTTCCCCCATGTGGCTTGTTTTCAAGCCACAGTCACACCCATTTCCTTTGATGTTCCTTCAGGACATCAAATCAGTTGCTGACGTGTACATTCTGACTCATGACCCCATAGGCTAGAAAGCAGACTGGGCACCACAGCCTTTTCTTGGATGTGAGCTTTATGGAGACCTTTCTTCCATAATGCCAATAGGTGGATGTGTACCTTTGACCTTTAGATTAGCAGGTGAGCACAACCCCACTGTACCAACCAGACAGCCTCCAGTCAAGGTCTCAGGGAGTATATTGGTTTTGCAGATGTGGGAACTGAGTCTTCGGCTAATTCACTTAATGTTGTTGTTGTTATATGCCGTCGAGTCGCTTGCGACTCATAGCGACCCTATGTACAACAGCCCTAAACTCTGCTCTATCCTGTGCCAATCGTACTGTCTCTGACACTCCCATCCTGATTATACCAATCAATCCACCTCGTAGAGAGCCTTCCCCTCCTGCGCTGTCCCTCCACCCTCCCAAGCATGATGTCCTTCTCCAAGGACCGGTCCCTCTTCACAACATGTCCAAAGTATGTTAGACGGAGCCTCACTTAATATTAGCCTGCAAATTAAACTGGTGCTATAGTGGATACCGTGGACTGCTAAGGGAATAAACAGGTCTGTCTTGGAGAGGTAGAAACCAAGTTGTCCCTTAGAGACAAGGACTGTGAAGTTCTGGCTGACATAGTGTGTGCATGTGGCCTGGGGAGACCAGTCCTTCGAGAAGGACATCATGCTTGGAAAGATGGAAGGACAGTGCAGGAGAGGAAGACCCTGGAGGAGATAGATTGACATGGTAACTGGGACTTTGGGGGTGCATTGGAGACAGTGAGACTGGCTCAGGACAGGGCAGGGATCAGAGCTATTGTGCAGAGGCTCACTATGAATTTTAATTGACTCAATGGCACATCACGAAAACAACAGCAGAGTTGAGACTATGAACGTTGGCTTCTTCTGTGACTCATGCCTTCAATTGTGTTAGCATGTCTACGAACCACTTATCTATACTAGACGTCGTAACATGTGTTGGGTATTCAGTGATGGCTGAGATGATGCCCTGCCTATGAAAGGCATATATATGCTCTGGTGCTAGACATTTGTGAGGAAGCCATTAAACATCATTGCACTTTCTGCTGCTCTAGTCTGTTTTGTTCAAATAAACATACCATCTTCATTTTTTCAAATAATGGCACTGGAGTCTGGTGACCTTTCATAAGGATAAAAAAATTATGTTGGAGAGTTAGAACCCAGAGAATTCACCAGATGGGTCATCTGAAGGAAAAATGGGTACAAACATCCCTTTCTGACAAAAGATCCCCAATTAAGTGGCCAAAAGAAAGTGATGCTGAAAATTTATGTGTTGGCACTTAAAAACTCAGTGCTCTGTTCATGCATAGCCACTAATTACACAGTAATAATTTCACATACAGGGAGGCAGGAGTTTGCCTTTGTATTTCAGGTAAGAAATAATTTGCCTGGCAATTTCACAGCACAAGTAAAAAGTAAAGAAATGGTTTATTCTGCTTCAGAAAACCAATTACCTCCAAGAATTCTGAAAAACAAGTTAACAAGGTAGGAGGACTTTGGCCTAATTAAAAGCTCAGAAGACATAAAGAAGATATATGTAAATACAACACGCAGAGAAAATTTTTGCATAGCAAAAAAATGGAAAAGTAGAAAAAGAAAAGAGCAGTATTTGCAAAGTCTAATAGACAATTTTCTTGATATTAGAGAGGTTTGAAAAGAAATGAGGCAAAGCTAGAAATTTAAATCATTAGATCAAAGTAAAAGTAAATATCAATTACATAAGCCAGCGAAGAGATATTTAACTTCATCTAATTTAAAAATGCAAACATAAGAAATGAAAAACATTTACTATACACAGTGTTAAAGGTAGTGGTGTTGGGGACCGCGGTGGGAAGACACATTGAAGTTACCTTGGTGGAGGGCAATTTATGTTTACACACATTTTAAATGAGGATATATTTATCCCAAGAATGCTACACTAAGAGAAATATCTTTCAGCTAAAATCAGATAGATGAACAAATAAATGTTTTTAAGGATATTTAGAAATATTGTAATAACAGAAGCAAGAAATATTAAAAATATCATTGATGAGATTGTTTAAGTGCATTGTGAAAAATTCTTTAAAAGGATTATTATGCAGCCAGTAAAAATGAGACATATATGTGTGCCTTATACTACTGTAGAAAGTTACATAGCTCTAAAATTGTAATGTCTATAAGCCCCCAAATCAAAGATTACAAAGAGTGTTATTACAGGATGATTTTATGTCTCTATCGCACCTCACTTATTTCCATAAAGTCAAAATTCACTTATAGCTAACTCCCTACTAGCTTTCCAAGGCTATCGATGGGACAGGAGGAGATCACCCATCCTTCTCTCAAAGAGTTGTTGGTGCGTTCAAATTGTCAAAAGGCTCAGATTTTGCGTTAGCAGTGAACTCTCTATGGGCACACACACACACACACATACACACACACACACACACACACACACGGTAGCTCTGGTGGCTTAGTGATAAGGATTTGCACCGCTGACCCAAAAGCACAAGTTCAAATCCATCAGCTTCTCTGATGGATAAAGATAAACAATCTTCCATGGGATTTACTGCCTCTGAAACTCACTGGTGGGTCACCTGTCAGTTGATTGTGACTTGACAGTGCATATACATATGTACATACAAATATGTATATGTGTTTATTTTTTTGGTCATTATATACCACTGAGTTGCACTGTCAATCCAGAGACAAGTGGTTCAAAAACAACAGCTGATTTGCAGGAGAAAGACGGACAGTCTCATCCCTGATTTTCAGCTTCTGAAAACCCATTGAAATGTCAGGTCTGAGTTCTGACTTGGTGGTATATAACAATAACAATGACACACACACACACACACACACACACGTATGTACATATGTATGTGTGTGTGTATATTGTTGTTATGTACCATCAAGTCAGAATCAACGCACCCTGACCCTCCAGGGAGTTTTCAGGGCATAGACCCTGTGGGAGGAGCTGCCTATCTTCCTGGGCAGCAGGAAAATACTGAAGATTTCAGGAGGACGGCGAGTTTGATGGAAGGAACTCACCAACCTTCTCAACCTGTCTTCTAAACTTCTTCCCTCCCTGTCTTGCTTATCTCTGTTACTCATGTTATCGTCACCTATGTGCTCAAGTTACAATTCTGGCCCCTCTCCTGGCCTCTTGCCTCTCACACTTCTTGTACCCAAAGGGCAAATATAACAACCACTATTGCCTCTTAAGTATTTTTTTTTTCATTTTCACTCTCTATTTTCATTTCCTTACTTCAGATCTCACTTAGTTATATCCTTATAATGAACATGTTGTTGTTCTTGTTGTTAAGTGCTGTTGAGTCATAGACGACTCATAGCGACCCTATGAACGAAAGACCTGAGCGCTGGCTTGCCTCCGGAAACTCTGTGAACAGTGCTCAGGTCTTTCATTCATAGGGTCGCTATGGGTCGTCTACGACTCAACAGCACTTAACAACAAGAACAATGACAACATAGGGAGAGCTACGTTGGCCTAGTGGACAGAACGTTATGCTGCCAAGTCCAAAGTGGGTGATTTTAATCTGAAGCCCTCAGACCTGGTTTAAATTGGTTTTTTTGTCAAACATTCTTCTATGTGGTGTCTGGTCTGTGCATTGCTGTACAGAGGTAACTCGTGGTTGCTGTGATGCTGAACACT